TTTTACATGTTTTATGGGTTTAGATAGACTTTCGGTAAAAATGACACCCCCAATTTTCTAAACCCATAAAACATGTAAAATTACTCTGAACACCTTAGTTGAGGTCACATATAGCTGTAACAAATGTTCAAGTCCATGTGATCGGATACTGTAATTGAACGTTACAATTTGGTTATTGATATAGTATGCCAACCATGAATCACACTAGATCTAATATCGTGCTGAGTCACCGTAAAATCTTTAGACATGTTACAATTTTTGACTATCTGTGCGAGTAATTCCCCTTTATGGTCACACGTCAACTTGAAATTATTTCAAAATCGATATGGCGTACTTTGATTGAAATAACGAAACACATCCGAGAACAAAATTGTATAAAATTGTTTAATGCAGAACGTGGCGTACACAGATCTTCTATGAGCTAGGTTAGGACAAGAGACCCAAAATCATTTGTTTTGAAATAAATATCAAACAATGTGCGTAGAAATAAATTCTGGAAAACAAAAACTATTTTCCACATTTGTTTATTGATATCAAGATATCTAGATTGTGTATGACCAGTCACAATGCCGACCTCCGTAAATATTACAACAGACATGAATACTTACAGGATCAGGGCGTTTCAATCACTATTGACTTGTAAGATATGCATAGTTCATTGCTATAGTGACTCGCGTTGATCGAAAAACATTTTGGTTTCAACTGACAATTAAGTGTTTGTGATAAAGAAGATAATTTGGACATAATGCTATAGTATGTTACAGAACGACAAAACTTTTCTTGCTGTGCACTAACAAGCTTGTACAATGAATAACCACGTCTACTGTATAGACCTGTACCAGCTTACTGTGTCAAACAAATGTATCTATATATATTTGCACTCTATCGTCTAGCGTTGGTATAACAACTGTATAATAATGGAACTTCCTTTATAAATTAGTAACGTCTTTATATGTGTATTAAAACAACAAAAAGACGATATGTTTATATGAAAACAACAGATTTATTGTACAGGGTCTTATAAACAGTGGCAAACAACGGAAACTACTGAATGATGCTAGCAAAGTCAAACAACAGAACAACAAGTAAATTATGAAATGAAATCGGCAATCCAAGGTTATGTATTATTACACAACTCGACGACGTATATCATTACGAAACGAAATAAAAGCGAAAGAGAATTTAACATAACCTTGAATTTGCCAACATGCACATTAAAGTGACGTAATTTTGATATGGCTACTGTGAATCTGGGAACCGACAGTGTTCGAGGCGGTTCACGTGCGTAGATAGTAATGACGTCATGCCAAACCACTCCTCTTTTCCTTTGTAGAAAAGAGGAGGTTATCAACATCGCCACGAGAAAATAATTACTGAGTGCGCATGAACTCATTCAGTGAGGGTCATATTATACTGTTCACGAGTGTGATACTATTTGCCTTATAAGAATTTTCGTTGCGAAAAAGTGCACGTGTTTGGAACAATTTTTTAACATTACCGTTGCTTAATCTTTTTCATGTTATAAGTCAGCGTCTCGTTCAAGGTAGCCTGTGTAATCCGAACGTTGCAAAATCCGGAAAATTGCGCAACCAGACAGTCACAATCTACAGCCCTACGTAAACTTGTGAAGATGTGTAAACTTCAGCATGATCTGAAGAATGAGATTTGATCATGAAGTCTTCGGCTTAGACAGGCTTACCCGCATATTACAGACAATGCCAAAACATGCAGCAAACGATCGACTTGTTTTATAATTGGACTGACCGGACAGATACAAGGTCAGGGTCCGGACACAATTGTTCACAATAGTGCACGCATCACTGGACAACGTTAATGATAAAATTGTACCAGTAAGTCGAAAATAACTCGAAATGATTGTAACGAAAACCATTAAATCACACAAAGAGATGTTTGCCTAGTCAGGTGATTTGATACTACTTTATAAACATGGTAGTTTCCCCATGCATACGAAAACAAAGTAGTCATCTCATCACCAGCTCACATTTGTTGACACTAAATTCCGGTACTTTTACATATAAAATCTACATTTTAAACGCCATATTTTGGAAATCTTAACTGCGAAACGAAAATTGAAGATTTTATAACCAAAAATGCGTTCACATGTCAAAATTGTGTCAGATATGTAAGTAAAACAGCGCTTATTTTTCTGTAAGTACTAAAACACTGGCACATTAATAATTGCAATAAATCGTTTGTACATGTACATTGTCAATCAGACCCGTGTATTTTGATAGGTGTTGATGACCTCGTCATCAAGTCTCTAGAGGTCACTCTTACACAAAAAGTCATCAGCTAAATAGTAAACTATTTTTTTACTGATCGACCATCAACACCTTTCCCCGATGAGAAATATGTTCAATATCTTTATACATATATAATGTAATATCAATCACTGCCATTTCGTTGTCTTTTCACATTTCTAAGAAATGTTTGTCGTTATAAACCTCTTATTGGAATGCAGCGTTTCTTTCTTCAAAACTTTCAAAAACTTAAAAATGGAAAATCAAAAATGAATATCTCCCTTCGAATAATAACGCTTCACTTATTTGATGACGTAATGTACACTTATCCCATGGCTGTGCTACACCTTATGACAGAGTTTGTGACAGAGTTACGCCCAGACATCTGAACATTTTGCAAGGATTTTTTGAGTTCCGAGGACACATGACCTCCAGATTTTCTGCCATTTTCTTGTAATTGTGCAAATGAGCCAAACATGGCGGTGTCAAGGTCACTTCTAAGACGATCGAGTTCAAGTTGTAAGTTTTCAGTGTCATATCCGGTTTCGGTCAATGACACGTCACCGTCGTCTTCTGGAATATAGATACTAGAATAGTCAGACCACTCCGCGCGAGATTTAGCATACTCCGCTCTTGACCTTGTTAAGTCGGCCTGTGACCTAGACCTCGTTTTGAGTTCCTCGACGATTTTGTCATTTACGTCATTCAAAGCGTCTCGGATAGCAGTTTCCGCTTTGTTGTCTCCTGATAGCAAACAAAATATACATGAAATTATCACTTTTTAATCGCTATTTCATTAAATGCCATATTTTGTTTTTAATTATTATAATTTTGTATAGCTATCTGTAGTGTTTTCCGTATTGCTGTTTGAAGGTTTCCATGGTATCAACACACACGTGATAAATCGACAAGAGAGAAGCTAAAGATATTTTAAATAAGGACATATACAAAAATGATCGGAAGCCTTCAGATTTATAGCATCATACAGTGTATAAAAAGTTATCTTGTATTGCGTTACCTTGCATTCTAGCCTGATCCATCGCTCTTTCGAAAGTGTTGAAGGCCGCATGGTACTGACGCAGCTTAACTGTAAAACAGAGAAACAATAATGACCATAAACAGTGAGACATGACATTACATAAACTGGCAGTATAGCATGTTACACGAAAATTAGAATACATAATTTTTCTGACTTAGTATGTATTTCAGAGTGCCACTGGCTTAGGTTTCTCTTGAGTGATTCGGAAAATGATATGCACAATCACATTTTGGTGAGGTCTTACAAGGCCTTTAGATTCCGACTGTTTATGACTTGTTATGTTTTCAGCAGTGTGTTTCGCTTTTCGTTTTCTTTACCTTCAGCGACCCCTAGGAGAACTGAACTCTGAAGCTGGTAGTTCCAGTCGAGTGCCTCTTCAGCCGCCTCAACGGAACGACGCGCCGCCTCTCGGGCGTACTCGTACTGGCCAAGTACCAGGAAACAGTTCCCGATCTCGTGGTACAACCATGCGGACTCAACACGGGTTGTGCAAAGCTGTATCTTCCTGGAAAATCTGTGAGCGGAACCAGAAATATAAACACATTTGCACGGACGTATTATAATTAGGAAAGCTACAAAGCGTTACCACGAGTTATATTTAGAATATCAAGTTTGAAAAGCAATGGAACCGTATTCTGAACAAAAAAATGGAATGTGAAGCACGGACAACGTCTAAGCACATATGAGTGTAATGTCATTTAGAAAGATAAACTAATAACAATATGTTATGTTATACTGAAGTAGCAATTGGTTACAATAATGACATTTATTATGAATACTTTCTATAATGCTGACTCTACTATAAATTATATGTATATATTTGACGCTGAAAACGATATTCATGATCGGTTAACACTAGTATTGTGATATTCAATACACCTCGTATTAAGTTATACCATCGTTATATACTTCCCCGTAATTATTAAGTAACGATTTTACAATAGATACAGACTGATTTAGTTTCGATTGAGTACTTACACATCTAGAGCCTTCTGGTGCTTGCTTTGGAACACGTAAATTCTCCCGAGATTTCCTAGAGCACGTGATATGGCCTCAGAATCGTTACTGAAAGCACAAGTTCAATATTATGATTTTACCCGCACTATAACGTGTAAATAAGTAAATTCTGTACACTAAAACAAATATTCCCATTTTTTCAGGTCTTTATCCATGAACTAACCTAAACGATGCTGTTAAACATCGATATGATGTCCTACGTTCAATTTACCATCTCGTTTACCGCCAACGTATTTCATGTTTTCGTAACCATTCGATTACATACCGAACCCTTTATAACGCCAACATGGAGCATTTGTATCAGTATAACAAGGTTATCCTTTACAGGTACAGCAGTTATCTCATGGTTCGCAGTATATTATGGTAGCTTACATCCGTTCGCCGATGTCGAGATCTCGCTTGTGGTATTCGAGACCAGTGACGTAATCCCTCATTTCGATGGCGGCGTTTCCTATGTAGGAGTAAAGCTTGGCAGTGAGAGACATTACGTTCGGAATTTCCTCCATATTGTAGCTGTTCATGGTGTTCAAACAAGATTCGGCTTTCCTGGCGCATTCGGAATATTTTCCTTCTACGTAGGCTGTAATGATAAAGTGATGAAACTTCAGTGCATTATACATGTAATCGATGAACTTATTATTATTATACTTCACTTTTAACAATGTTGAAATATGTACAACAAATGATATCATGATGCCAATAAACTTTTTTTCTGATTGAAAAATCTAAAGAAACATGGCAGCAATTCATTTGCATTTTGGAAGACTTTTTCCGTGATGCTAATCTTCATTCGAATGTCTGGAAACCTGGAATGACAAATTTTCCGACACTTACCGAATTCGACATCCTCCATGACTTTATTGATATACGAAATGATTGGTTCTCTTCTGATGCGACGTCGACCCCGATTGTATTTTGACATGTCCGTATTAACATAAGGGAGTTTGAGGGTATTTGTCGGAGTCATAGTTTCCTCTGTAACATCCTGACTCCTACGTCGTGCGCTTCCGTTCGATTTAAGGTCAATGTCGCTGTGACCTTTATAGGTGCTAAAGCTGATGTTGAGTCCGGAGTCGGAGTCAGATGACGTGTGATGTTGACTCAGGTTATCCTTGAGTGTGTTGTTTCGCCCGCGCTTGACCTTCAGGTTATTTTCCTGTCTGGGTCTCCGTATGATGGGTCGCTGGGAACGTTGTGGGTCCAATGTGTCCTTCAACTGTACTTTCTGTCCTTCAAGGACATGAACGAACTGGGGCGGGTTGGCTTTGCGAGAGTTGGCCTCAGCGGCCTTTTTCTTGTCAAGATACCTGAACCAAGATCCTGGTGGCATGGGATCTTTTTCTTTGGTTTCTTTACCATCCTTGTGTATCTTTGTCGACTTCGCCTTAACAGTGCTGGCATTGCTCGTGGATTTTAAAGTAGAAGGTCGTGTGCCGGGAGCTTCAGGGGGGATAATCCGTCCCTGGCGTACCCAGTACAACACACGGTCATACAGGAAGTTTAAACCCGTCTCCGCCATGTTGGTAAGGTCTACACTTCCACGAGGTACGTCTACAATACAAGTAAATATTATGGTAGCAGTATACAGTAGAAATGGCCCGACTGTGATAATCAAGGCACATGTCGAGGAAATGTAAACACAGCGGATTCATCCTACACAACACATGTATACATGTATATATATTTGTAAACTGC